CATATGATTGATAAGAGAACAGCGAAAAAAATTTAAAATAAAAAAAATGACAATGTATTCAACGAATATTCTCAGACGTTGTACTCGTATGTCTTGTCAAAATTAAACAAGATTGTTTAGAATGAATAAATGTCATTACAATTGTAATACATATTTGGAGGAAAGTGATGGTAAAGAATACAACAAGAATAATTTTGATTAAATATGCAGAATCTTGACATCGATCTGGACCTAAGAATATTTTATAACAGGAATCTGAAGCGAGATTGATAGATGAAAGTATTAATGCTATTATAGAACTTATAAACATAGCCAAATGAAGTAATTTCAATCGTTGTAACGAAGATAAATGCTTTTGTGGATGACTCATGAATAGAATAAGATAGATTCCTAATATAATACTTAAAGCACCTGACCATAGACCAGTGAATGAATATGATTCATTCATAATCGTTAGAATAACATCGCATACGATTGCTGCTAATCCAATAACCATATGAACAAGGCCTGTTCCCAATAAATATCGAGTATATCTATTTGGTAAATTAATAGTAATAGATCCATGAGAAGATGGTCTTTCTTGATATTCTATTCCTCTATCAGGTACAACATAAATTGAGGGTGTATATGATGGTGGACTTTCATAATTATTCGTTATCGAATAAGCTGGTGGTGGTCCATATAGCTCATCTTTCGACATTGCCCAGTTGCTTACCATCATGTTTCGTTTATTTTATACAATCGAATATAATAAATGAGAGCAATATAAAAAAAGAAGTGGAAGACGAGGAAGAAAAAAAAAGAAAATGGTAAAATCAAGATCACAGTAAAAATGAGAGTGAAGCATAGCAATGTATGAAAAAAAATGGGTAAGAGAGAACATAGAGAGAGAAAAAAGAAGGTAGGACGATGTGAAGGTCAACACGCAATATGTGCGATTTGAGCACGTCGAAAGGATCATTACGATGAAGTATATACACAGTTTAAGGACACAAGTCCGACGACCAATCACATTGTTTTGATTGGGAATTAAATTTCAGTGATGCCGGACATTTCATTGGAGAAATGATATTATTTGAACATGCAAAATATTGTGTACAGTCAGATACATCAGCAAAGATACCATCTGGCATTGGACATATGAATTCTTGAATAAGAAAAAAAGAAAAAAAGAAATTTTTTGTAATTGAATCATAAAATAGACCAATTCTTACTTGGTTTAGTTTCTGATGTTGTTGCTTCTAAAGTTTCTTTATTTTTATTGACCTTTGGTTTTGAAGAACAAGGCTATTGTGATAAAAAGAAAGAAAGAAATAACTTTTGAATTCAATTTCATTTTTTGTGTTAATGACATTCTGATAAAAATGTCTAACTTTTGATTTATGATCAAAGAACTTCTATTAATTCCATAAGAATGAACACATTATTCGATTATTACATTTCTTTTTTTATTTCAATAGTTCATTGACTGTGAACTATATACGCACTATACTATTACGTATATAATCAAGAAAGAAAGAAAAATGTATTTACTTACTAAATCTTCTTGTGTACATGCTTTCAATCGTTTTGAAAAATGCATATTGGATGGACATTGTAAATGTGCAACTGGCGCATCAATATTTGGTAGACATACATAATAGTAATGACAATCAGCTTCATCAACGATTAAATCTTTTGTTTTAATACCTGAACATAAACCAGTTTTTTGTTTTGAAGGAGTTGTAGTTGTTTCAATCGATGGAGGTGTTATTGGTTTTGAAAATAATCCAGATATAACAGATGTAATAGGATATTTACCACGATTACAAAATTTACCGGAATAATCATCCATATCAATTGAATGTACGAGTACACCACCTAATTGAGATTGTTTAATAAATTTTGCTTTTAATTCAACAGTTCCATTAACAATTCTTCTTGGTAATTGTAATGATTGTGTATCATCAAATATAATTAAATTATCTTTCTTATGTGCCATAACTATAACACTTTCATTACTTAAAAATCTTTCATAATTATTCGATTGAATAGCAGTACAAATTTCATAAGATGCAAGTATGCCTGGTATATGTGTGATACGTCCTGGTAAACCTGAAGCTAAGATATTATCACCAATAGAATATTTATTTTCATTTTCTAATAAAAATGAAAGACCATATGTTGGAATACCCATAATTAATTTTTCTTTTGGTACATCAGATGAAAGAATAAAGGCAAGTGTTGAAGACATTGAAAAATCTCCAATATGTTTATCTGGATTAGCTTGAATAAGTGCAGCAAGACTATTCCATGACTGAAGTTCTTTAAAATTTCCAATTGATTTTTCATCAAATGGAAGAACAATAAGATAATCAACAAATTCATATAATGCAAGTATTTTGTAAAGTAATTTTTGATCTGATGTATTAGCTGGTGAGTTAAACGATATTGTTATCATATATTTATCAGGTAAAATTGATTTGATTGACTAAAAATATAATTTATTAAAAATACAAATGAATTTTACTTCTTACTGCAATTTGTTTAAGAAAATCGTGTGTGATTGTTTTTGAATCCATACAAATATTAATACCATCAGCTTTATTTTTTTCAAGAAGATCTTCCCATTGATTAATAGTTATATTTTCATTGGAATTAATTGTAAGTAAAAATTTTAAATCTATATTTTGACTTTTTAATTGATCAGATACAGATGCAGAAAATAAAGAATTATTATGATCAATTATTATATGTGTACAAAGGTTTGTATCAATTTGATCTAATGTAAATTGTGTTGAACCATAATATGTATCAGCATTTGAATTTACAGAACAGAATACATTATGCACTTGATTAGTACGAACTCTTTTATTATCAATAGATTGTGTAGTAGTAGTAGTTTCTTGAATAGTATTTTGATTAGAAATACCAGCAACAGCATGTAATAATGGATAAGGACCATTTCCACATCGTCCATCAACATCATCCTGTCCTAATGATGATAATGTCACACCAGCTAATCCTTGTAAATTAGCATAGCGAGCCTAAAATCAAAATAGTATTGAAAGTAATTTGTATCTTTACAATATTTACTATCAATGCAACATCATCAGCTGTATCAGAACTTATCCATTGTTTCTTTTTTGCATTGAATGCATACGATGAACGTGTTTCTTGATTATAAACTTTAGTATAATCAGTACTTTGAAGTAATTTACACAACTAAATATAACAAAAAATCAATTAAAATCAAAAATCAAAATGAATAAGTTTACATCTGAATAAGCAATTGTCATTGATGAACCAACGACTGGTGATCCAATTGTATTTTGATTACCATTAGCTAATCCATACCAACGTCCATAAGTTGGTATGCCAAGAGATATTTGTTCAGGGAACATACCAAGTGCAATTACATAACTTACAATCCAATTCTATAATGATAATATTCAAGTTTATCATATAACAATTATAGATATAAAAAAAAGAAGTTTTTACAATGTTGTTAAATTTATCATCATCTTGTTGACTTTTCATAGAATAAAGTGGATTGATCAAAGTAGTTACATCTTTTGATGGCCAATCAAAAGCCATTAATCGAATAAAATTTACCGTACTTAAATAAAATTATTATTAATTTTAGTTTTATAGAAAAATATTTTGTTAGATAATTTACTCAGATATTTGATCAAAATCATAGCTACTATCAAGAATAGCTTTATCTCCACTAACACCAATTGATAATGAAAGTTGATTAGGACTAAATGCTTGGTGTAATTCCTATAATAAATTGTTTTCTAAAAGATTATTATTATTGTTTTAACATACTGTTAACCAAGTCGATAAATAATTTTTATCAGTTAATGCTGATGTTTGGCCAACTGGTATATTCCAATCGATATCTATTCAAATAAAAGAATTGTAAATATATTATTTTCTTTTTTTGTTTTTGTAACTAACCAAATCCATCTAAACCATTAACAATGAGATATTTTTGTATATTTTTATTGAATTTAGCTCGTTGTTTATCATCACGAATTAAATCTAAATGTTTTGATTTCCATTGACCAAGAATTGAATAGAATATTTTTAATTGTGGATTCTTTGTTCTCATGACATTTAATTGTTCAACTAAATACGAAAAAGAAAATGAAGATTATTTAAATAGATTTTATCGAAGAAATCATACGAATAGCAGATGAAAGTGCTGATTGAAATATGTCTGTTGAATCTGTTGAGGTTGAATCTGCTTGAACAAGTATTAAATGTGAACATAAAGTAGCATCAAGAGAATCGAAGACAAATGGATTCACTGTTGTCATACATACAACCGATGGAGATGATGCTAAAAATTAAAACAGAACAATATATTATCGTATATCATATGAGAAAAAAGTTCTTACCAGTACTTGAGGGTGATGCAGTAGGTTGCGATGGAGTAGCATCTATTGGATTTGTTGATGTAGTAACTGTGACTGTAGGTGTTGGAACTGTAGGTGTTGGAACTGTAGGCATAACAATTGGTACAATCGTATTGGATCGAATAAGATTAACAACAGTATTTAATAATGGATATTGACCACGATCACAAAATTTACCGGAAAAATCATCAAGATCTGGTGCCCATATTAATACACCACCAAGATCTTTTCCAATAATATAATTTGCCTAAAATAATATAAATAGAAAGTTTTTTTTTTTTAAATTATAACAAACATACACGAATAGTAAGTGTATCAATATTATCATATCCCACCCACATGCCGTCACCATATGCATACATTGATTTTTGTACATCATCATATTTACTTGTCCATGCACTACTCTTCAATTTTTCACAAATCTAAAATAAATAGTTTAATTATTCGTTATGTTCTTCTCTTCTTATCTTACTTCATAATAAGCTAAAAATCCTTTTTCTCTTGTATATTTTCCAGCATCACCAGGTCCTGAACTTGGTGCACCAATACCAGTTTGTGAACTATCGACTAATTTAAATGTTCGTCCATACATAGCTAAACCCATACATATTTTTTCTTTTGGCATTCCTTGTTGAATCCAATAATTAACTGCCCAATTCTTAAATAAAATCATATTAATATGAAAAAACAAATAATTTCATTTTATTATCTTACTTGATTGAGTGCCATTGCATTATCAGTTTCTTCTGGTCGTGCATATAAAGCTGTATGAAATCCAGTTGAATTTTCCCAACCACCACCATGAAGATCATATGTCATAAGATTAATAAAATCAAGATATTTAGCAATTTTATCAATTTCATAACCAGCTTCAATAGTTGGTTCACCAGCACCAACAGCTGCTGATAAAAGTAAATTATAAGGTTCAAAAGCTGCTTTTAATTCCTAAAAAAAAGAAAACATTTTCCATTTCACAAAATTTCGAAGAAACAAACTTTGAGTAAAGTAGTGAAGAGCTTTTTATCTTGTGGTCGACTACCGTCTCGACTACCAGGATATTCCTATAAAAGAAAAAAATATATAAAGATCAATTCATTTTAATCATATATTATATTTATACCCAATCCATATCAAGACCATCGAATTTATTATCACGTATAAATTGTGTTGCTTGTTTAACAAATCCTTTTCGTAAATTTGTATCTGCAACCATATTAGAAAAATTACCAGAACCAAAATTCCATCCACCAACAGCAAGTGATATTTTAATATCACTAGATTTTTTCAATTCCATTATACGTGTATACATGCCTATAGAAAATCAATTTGATAAATAAAATATATTAACAAAATAAACCAACCTTTGCTCCAGTCAGTATCTTGATCATTCCATTCATATGGTGCAAGTTTGGAATCTTTCAAGACAGCAAATGCATAAATAACATTTGTACATAAGGAAGGATCGAGATTTTCAGGAAAAAATTTTCCACCATCAGTTCGATATTGTGCCCAACTAAAAATATGTATATATGTATTTTTTTGTAAAGCAGACATTCATTTTATTTACTTTGTATAATAACAAACAATACGTTTTCCTTGTCCAGATGTAGGAGTATTTGATGTTGTTGTTGATGCACTTGTTGTTGTTGGTGTTGGTGATGTTGTTACTCCAGTTTGACCATGAAGAACATTAATGGCTGTATTCATTAAAGGATATTTTCCTTCATTACACACAGTACCAGTAAAATCATCAAGATCCGGTGCCCAAAACATAATACCAGCTAAACCCATATCTTGAGCATATTTAACCTTCAAACTAAGAGAATATGCATCATCGAATCCAACCCATTCTTGACCTTTGTATGCATAATTTGACTTCTGTTCATCATCGAATACTTTTGTCCAACCTTGTTGTTGTATACGATTACATATTTCATAATAAGCTAAAAATCCTGCTTCACCAGTATACAAACCAGCGGCACCTACGAAAAAAAATATATTTCTTACTAAAAATAACAATGTAATATAATATCTAACCTGGTCCAACTGCAGGTGCACCAATTCCATTATTAGTAGTACTAGATAAACGAAATGTTCGACCATAAAGAGCTAAACCCATAACAATTTTTGATTTCGAACAACCTTTATCAATCCAATAACGAACAGCCCAATCTTGTGTTAACTGTTTATTAGTTTCACTATCACTTGCACGACTATATAAAGGTGAATTAATACCAGTTTGTGATTCCCATGAACTAAATATATATATATATATTGATGAAAAGAAAAATCTTAAAAAAAGAATTTACCCATGTAAATCATAAGACATTAAATTAACAAGATCAAGAGCCTCACAAACTTTAGGAATATTATAGGCAGCATCAATTGTTGGTTTACCAGCACCAACAGCAGCCGTTAATAATAAACTATATGGACTAAAAGCTCTTTTAAGTTCGACTAATAATTTTACATAATCTTCTTTATCTGTTGGTCTTGAACCAGGACGTGAACCCGGATATTCCTAAAATTTAATTTTATTCTAAATTTTTTTATTTTTAAAAACTATTTACCCAATCAATATCAAGCCCATCAAATTTATGTTTTTGTAAGAAAATAATTGTTGTTGTTATAAATGTTGCACGTTTTTTATCATCACGAGCCATATCAGAAAATTTTCCACTACCATGATTCCAACCACCAACAGCAAGTAAAATTTTTGGTTTTCCTGATTTACGTAAAGCCATCATTCGTGCGTACATACCAGTTGACCATTGAGTACTTTCATCATTCCATTCATATGGAGCTATGACACCATTGGTTAATTGTCCAAAACCATAGACGATATGTGTACAAAGAGTTGGATCTATATTTTCAGGATAGAAACGACCTGGACCATTACGATATTGTGCCCAGTTAGTATAATAACATACAAGAACAGGTGCTAAATATAATGAAAAACAAAAAAGGATTTTGAATTATAAAAAAAATAATTTTTTTGCGCATACTATGTGATGTAGATGATGATGGTTGATCTTCAACTGTGGTAGGACTAAACCATTGTTGCCAAGATGGTGGTGGTACATCAACATGATTTGTATTGGATACTTGGAAAGATTCAATATGAAGATCAGTTCGTGATTCTGTTGTATTTGTAATTGGAAGTGGTGCAGTTGTAGTTGTTGTTAATGGCGTAGCATGTGAAAGTTGAAGGTCGAATTCAATACAATAAATATTTCCTAAGAATTTGAATTGTATTGGACAATTTTCATTACCAGCCTTCGAAATATAATAATAATTAAATTTTCGTAGCTATAAGATTATTTACTTTGTTAAGATTTTTAATGATGGTTCTGATAATAACAGGTAAATTTTTAAAGAATACTTTAGTAGTAGTACGAACAGCTTCGACATCTGTCGCAGTCATATCTAAATTACTTTGATCAAGTTTAGATACAAGTTCATTTGCAATTAGATCTACTGAAGACAATGATGAGTTTGATGAACTATCAGAGTGTGAAAGTATATATTCAGCTAATTTAAATATTATGTTTTGTGTAAAACCATCTGCTGTTGAATTTAATTCAATTGGTACTATAGAGAGAAAAAAAAGTGCATTAGAATGAGTATACATATATGTACATGAAAGCTATTTTATTTTTACTTGACTTAGGCTTTGAAGGTTCAGTATGAGCCCAACTAGGTTTATCTGGATGTGTTTCACTGCCATTGGTGTTTGTTTTATTGTCTACGGATGAATCTGGAAGATTTGAGCTAGTGCTATTTCCAGTTTCAATCTTCGAAGATTGAGTTGTTATATTTTCGATAGTTTGATTACCTTGTGATACAGTTGTGTTTGATATTGTGACATTGGTTGCTGTTCCAATAGCAGCTGTTGATAATTCTGGAATATTTGTTGTAATGTTGTCGATAGTTTGATTACCTTGTGATTCAGTTGTGTTTGATATCGTAGCAGCTGTTGATGATTCTGGAATATTTGTTGTGGTGTTTTCGATAGTTTGATTACCCTGTGATTGGGTTGTGTTTGCTATCGTAGCATTAGTTGCTGTTTCAACAATAATTGTCGATGAATCATGTACATCCGTTACATTCGTTGCTATAAATAAGATAAACAAACTTGAATATATAACATATCAAAGAACAATTTATTCATACCTGTTGTAGTCGCAAGATCAGACGGGACAGTTGAAATTGTAATCGGAAGTGTTGTTTCAATAACTTTTTCTGTTGTAGCTTCAACAATGACTGGAGCTGAAACTGTACTAGATTCATTTTGAGCGTTGACAGACAAGTTCACTAAGAGCAATAACACTAAGCTAAAAAGAATATTTATTATAAACGTACAATTAAATAATTAACTATATATTATACATACACGTGTGAAATCCGTCTTAGCATGATCATATTTTAGATATTTTTATGCTTTCTTGACGAGCAATTCAATTCAAATGAATGTAAAGTATGATAAAGAAACAGACGAAACTATTTTCTCCTTATGATCTGTTCAGACGACTAGAATTATTCCTTTCTCGGTCTATTTACTTCTAGTAACATCTTTACTTTGTATTCTTTCTCAGCTCGTCAGATATAACTTATACAATACGAATTAGACGTGTTCAGTTTGTATGCTATATAACCTTTCAGTATAGTATGATTTTTAAAATTAATTCAAGTTATAAATCCTCACATACGATTTTATATTTTTGTATTTTGTTTGTCATTCATATAATTAAATAGAGAATTGTTGGATATTTATTTCATTATTAATCATATTCATTTTACAAAAGCAAAGAAAATTAAACAAGTTAATAGATATGTCGTCGATGTGATTTATTTCTTTTTCTTTTCTATAAAAGAAGAAGAAGAAGAACGAAAGAATCTAGATCGATCATATGTGCGATATTCTAGTGCATTTTTCATAGCTGATTAACGATTAAGTCATTCAATCCGTGTTACAGTCGATTAATTGTCTTTGCTTGAATTGATTTCGTAAAATTCTCACATATCGATGTCAACATGATGTCTCTCATTTTCATTTCTTTTTTCCCAAGAGAATAATTAACATTGAACGTATACATTCATTTGATCTGTTCATTTAGTCTTTTTTATTAAATAAATCTATACAAAAAAACAAAAACACCAAGATTTAGATTTCTTTACATATATATATATATAATTTTATTAATGAAGATACTGTGTACAGGAAGACTAGAATCGTACAGAGCGAATACAACCTAATGATGATAATTGTTGTTGTTGTTGAATATTCACCGATGAATGTATTCGTGGTAATACAAGTGTAACAGGTAAATTTTCTTGTATGACAGTATGATGAATAACAAGTGTACTTAAATTGATAAATGTTTTCGATGAATTCTATAATAAACAAATTTAATTAAATGAAAATTGAAATAAATATTTTTGTTAAACTTACTTGTATTCGACAATTATTATTATGACTTGTTCGTTGAATAAAAAAATGTTCAATAGATTTTTCATTGATTTTTAACGATAAAATAAATGGATAATCCAAACAAAGATAACTACATCGAATAAGAAATGATCCAATTGGTTGTTCAATATTATTTAAATATTCTTCACATATCTCTTTCGGTAAACCTTCTTGATACCAACCAGCAACATTTAATAAATCTTGATCACTAGAAAAATTCGAAATATTAATTAAAAAAAAATGTAATTCAAGAACTTTATCTATCGAAGGAGCAGCTGGTCAGGAAAAGCAACTCACTAATATGTTAATCAACCGTGTTGAACAATTGAAAATTTGATTATCGTTACTATTGACGCCCTATTGTCTTTCCTACATATATAGTATTATTGCAATTAGATGCTGTGCGATCAAGTGTATGTATAGACGAAACAAGACAATAATCTCCCGGTCATCTCTGTCTGCACACACATAAATATATATATATATCTTTACATCTGTATGTAATTTAAGACGTCGGTGTATTCATCACGCGATATGGTTGAATGAAAGTGAATATGATCATATTTCAAGGTCGAAAATAAAAGACTTACTCGATTCGATGACGTATTATTGGTTTTGGTGTATCAACAGACATGGAAATAATTGATTGAGAATCGAAATGAACTTGTTTATTAATAGTTACACGTATTTTTTCAATTTGTTTATCTAAATCCCAAACATTATCATAGATATCTGAATTATGATCAGATGTATCTATTCTTGTTGTTTGTGATGGTGATGATGATGAAAGAAGCGATGCTAAACTTTTATGTTTCGATAATTTTTCTTTGAAGTATTTTGTTATACTAATACGACGATGTGCTGATGATGATTGATCAGTTTGAGATAAACTTAATCGTGAACCATATCCGGATGAAGATGATAATGATATAGATGAACAAGAAATATCGCGATCAAATCGAAATGAATCGGTAGTTTTAAAACCATCAAGTTTCGGCATAGTATCTAGAAAATTAAATAGAACTATTAGATGTATGTCATCAATTGCTCAATTTCGTCATATAATAAGGAAAGTAAACTTACGTTTGTATGAAGATAATATTGTTACTACTCCCAGAACTAAATAAAATAATTTTTTATATACGAACTTGTTACTAATTTTCAAAGGCAATCAATCGATTACAAATGATTAGAATACACAAATTGATGCTCTTTTTATATATGTGTTGAAAGCATGTATATAATCAGTCTATTAGTAGTTTGTCACTCGTGTATGAACCGCCTAAAAAAAGAAGGAATGATAATTGAATTGAACTATCATTAGAATAGGAAGAATAGAATTGTTTCCATTCTCTCTCTCCTTCATTTTCTCTCTTATCACGAAAGAGAAAAACACACATGTGTTCACACATGAGAACGAGAAAAAGAAGAAAAAAAAAAGATCTAAATTCATCACTAGATTCAATTGTCTCTCTCTCTCTTTCACTATTGATTGATAGACCATATCATATATGAAAACGAAAAGTTTTTATCCTTGGTTTTCATTTTAACAATGATTGATCGATATACGACCTATAATAAAGATAAACATCTGTTTGATTTTCGAAAATACTTCACTAACAAAAAGATAAAATAAAATAAAAAAAACAAATTTTCTTGTTTCTTCGATTGAATACAAGAAAACATCTAGACAGACGCACCCCAAAGCAATCATCAATGTATTTTTCCACTTGTCGCATTCTATTCCATTTCTTCTTTTAATGAGTTTCATTCTAATACTGACCGACATTGAATTGAAAGAAAAAGAAAATAATGACGGAACTGGGTGGACAGATTGTTGTTTTGAGAGAAAAAAAAAGAAAATGATGAGCATTTGGATGAATTGATCGAAGATGAAGGACGGAAGCGACAACATACACGCAATGATCTTTATCAAATGTCCGTTTGTCTGTCAGTTAGTTTTATTTTAACGAATAAACAATCATTGATTTAATCGATTGACACTGTGTGAAATCATGATTCCACAGTTCATTTTTAAACAAGTTCTACAACATCTGCAAAGGATTTATTTAGAAAACAGCATTCTATAACACATGATGTGATATATCACACATTAAAATAAATCGTTTTATTAACTTTTTTTCTATTGAGAAAAATATACATTGTATTTTGTACATTATGAAATTTAATATTAGTCAACGAATAAAAATTCTTATAATCTCTGCTTTTTTTATTCACGTATTAGATTACATTATATATATATGTAGATAAGAACAAAGAATTTTATCATCAGTTATAAGCACGTTTGCTGATTGTCAAATCTGTGTGTACACTTTCACGTCTTTGCGTATGAGAGTAAAAAAAAGTCGGTTTCACTCATTAAAGAACTGTTGGTTTTGTATCAAAGAGAAAAATTCATTCTCAAACGTTCACATTGGTCGTATTGTAGTAGACTCCTTTTTTTCTGCTAGGGAAAATAATATTCTTCTCGATAGTAAGAAATAAACTTATATACATCCGTAGGTAATTTAACATTTCTTTCTTTCTTCTTTTTTTTATCTGCGTGTGATATTTATATATATACTGCTGAAAAACTCATTTTTTTTCTTTTTCTTTTAGAATATATTTATCCTATACAAATGTCTACTTCGTTGACGACTGCTCAACTCAAAGAATTAAAAGATGCTTTTGAGTTATTTGATACAGGTATGTGAATAAAATAACAATAAAAACATTTTATTAAATATATATAAGAATAGATCGATCTGGTAAAATATCCGAAAAAGAATTTGGAAATGTATTCAAAGCATTGAATATTAAAATAAATGATAAACAATTAAAACAAATAGTCAATCAAGTAGATACAGATGGAACTGGTATGTGTTGAATTAAAATGAAAGTTTTTTTGTTTACTTTTATATATATTTAAGGAGAAATTGAATTTGAAGAATTTTGTCGTGTCATGGGTGAATCATTTTCTAAAAAATATTCTCAAGATGAATTACGTGTTGCTTTTCGTCAATTTGATCAAGATAATTCAGGTTATATTCAAGCAAAAGAACTTGAAAATATTATGAATAAAATGGGAAAACATTTGAGTAAATCACAAATTGATGCTATGGTTAAATCTTTAGATACAAGTGGTGATGGACAAATTTCGTTTGATGAATTTGTTCAATTATTTAAATAAACATTTACAAAGACTAAAAATTTTTTTCTCTGTTCGTATCATATTGATCAACAATAAAAAATTGTCTTGTTTAGGTAGAATTAATTTCCAGGAACATTTGATGAAGCTGGTAATGGTAAATGAACAGCAGAATAAGGATAAACTGAAAAATGAGTTGGATTAGAGCTTTTTCCTACATAGATAAAAGTTTATATAGAGAAAAAAAGGCATGAAAAAATTTTGATTACTTTTTTTTTGAATACGATGATATGCAAAGACTGGTAGAAAACGACGAAAATTTCCATTACGTATGATATATATGAATGGATTCCATCTAAAATAATCAAATACAATTCATATATGATAAAAAATATAGCACGTACACAACGCTTGTTTTAGCAAATATTGCTGGTATTGTTCCAGATAGCGGTGACAAAAGATGTTCATCAATAAATACACGAATAAAAACGCTTATTGCATATGGAGTCCATGCAAGAAGAAAACCACCTTAATTTTATCAAAAAAAATGAATTAAAAAAAACTTAATTCTACTGTCTCTTTTTGTTTACCGATAATAAAAATAACAGTGTATGTTACACGATGTTCGATTGCAAGTTGACGTCGAATAAAAGATGCACTGAAATTGATATTAGTAGATCGTCGATGTTCATGAACCTATAACAAAATATTTCATATCATCTACTTTTTCTTGTTATTCAAAATTCTATTTACTAATTTAAACACATTTATATTTGTTATGAATATTATAATGACCGG